ACTGGAGGGCACTCAACAACAACAAGGATGTAAAAGTAAAAAATGGGATGCTTCAAACTCCACGAATAACAAAAAGTAGAGGTGTTTAGAGTCTAGGGTAAGCCTCCTGTTCCTTTAAAACCTTGGCTAAATTTAAAAAGTCTCCTAGTGAAAAACTTTTTAGCAGGATTAATAAAGAGATTACCTTCAGAATTAAGTTGAGATACAAAATATAAAATTTAACAGTGACTATAAAAACAAATTTTATTATTTACATAACAAACTATGGATTGGAAAACACATAGGGTTAACCAATATCCAGTTGTTCCGTGAATGAATCGGAAAAGCCAAAAGATTCAGAGACTCATCCTTTATGACATTGCATCATTTTAAGAGATTTAGGTCAGGCTATCGCTTTAAAAAATCAATTGTAAAAGTTAGATTTTAATTTGTTCTTTAGCTCCACTGAGTGCACACAGCAGCAGTATGTGAATGAAAACTAAGCTGAGGTAAAAGGGTGTGTAACACTGACATGGAGAAACTAACAAGAGAGACGTAAATTACAAGCTAGACGCCCGAACCAAAGAACTGAGTGAGGACTTTCCGCTAAGATCTGGGAGCCTCGTCCGGAGGAACGGTAGTCCCTTGCACTTCTGTGGGTTTAGATACAACCTTCACTTCTTAATTGCAGTGCTTTGTTTTCATCCCCCCCATCGTGTGATGAGTATATGGTTTTTAACTGGAGCTCTGTAACGGAAGATGAGTACCCAAAACGCGGTCTGGAGTCAGGAGACGAGCGCCGCTAGAAACCTGGGGTCGAAAGGATGAACATCAATCGAGGAAATAAGCCACGTAGCATTCCGGACACAGTAATCCCTAAGCAAGCTCAGTCTTCCCGCCCTCTCCAAGTGCTGCTCCCAAACAAGCCCGAATCTTACGTGTTCCTTGGTGCAATCCCTCCCATTCACCCTGAGGAACCCGCGAAGGTGATCTCCACTCACCGCCTGAAACACAGTCATCAACAGCAACCGCAGGCCAAACGGCAGCCGAAGCCATCCTTCCGGCCCAACCGCCATAGCCACCGTTTTCCGTAGTTCTCCGGTGTCATCTAGGGCACCGCTCTGCTAGGGCGTCCACTCCAGCGCCTGATCTAAAACAGAATGCTAAGAGCCGTTGCCTTCAAATATCTCATTCTTCTGGGACGGGTATTACCTGAAGGCATATTAAACCTTAAACAGGATAAACTATAAAGACAGTCGCCGGGTCCTTTCGAAAACCCAAATCAGGCATTTTCCTAAACTCCCTAAATGTGTGCATCTCTGGCTCCTTCTTTCCATTCACGACATTTCGTCAAGCAGCCAAGAAGCACCGCCTTCATCCGTTTCGGCCTGCCTTCTTTTCCAAGTCTATCCAATCGAATGCTATTTTAGTTGAGACCTGTGGCACAGGAAACCAACCGTAACGCGAACCGGGAGCAGTGTGCCGCGGTTCTTCGGACCAATAAGCACAAGCGAACGGGATGAAGGGTGGGGCCTCTGGTTGCCGAGCAGCGTACGTGGAGGCGTGCGCGTGGTAAAGGAGGGGGATGGGAGGGGGCGGGCCGAGGGCGGCGCAGTCGCAGCCGCAGCCCTGGTGGAGGAACGCGCGGCTGCGAGCAAAGGACGGAGGGAAGGGAGCTAGAGAGGAAAGCAGGCAGGCTAGAAGGCGGGTGCGGGGACGGAGATTGAGGCAGTAGAGGGAGGCGAGAGCCTTGCAGCTTCTTCGCGCTGTTTGCTGCGCGGGCTTTGGAGGGGTACTCGTGGAGTCTGTAGAGGAAAAGCAGGCACCGGTGGCGTTGGTACTGGTGTCTGGGGGCGGGGGACTGGGGAGGCGAGAAGGGGGGTTGCTGCGGTGGTTCTCCCGCTGTTGCGCTCTCCTTTCCTCACTCCCGGCTCGGTGGGCTCCTCCCGGCGTATCTGTCGCCTCCGGGGTCCCGCTTCCCGCCCCCCGCGGTATGTCTTGATCCCGAGCAGCGGGTTTCATGGGGCTCCTCAGGATTATGATGCCGCCCAAGTTGCAGCTGCTGGCGGTGGTGGCCTTCGCGGTGGCGATGCTTTTCTTGGAGAACCAGATCCAGAAACTGGAGGAGTCCCGGTCCAAGCTAGGTGAGGAACCGAGCTACTCCGGATGAGTGATGTGAAAGGGGCCGGGCCGGGTAGGCATTGCTACCGGAATAAATGGGCGTTCGTTTAACCTGGGGTCTGGCTCTAGGAGCTTGGGCTGGGGGACTTCGAGAGCACAAGCTCCAAGAATGGGGTGAACGAAGCTTGAGGGGCGTGTTGGGCTGGCGAGGTCGCGGGCACTGGCTGCAGTATTGGACTTCCCCGGGCCAGAGGGTTGCCCCGAAAGTGGCGCGCGCGAGAAACCGAACTCGGTAGGGAGCTGCGCTGCTGGGAGGAAAGAGACGCTTCCAGCCTCGTGTGTGCTTTTAAAAGTACTACGGAAAGCCTTGGCAGTGCCAGGGGAGGAATCTTCTAATTTGAAATGTGGGTACCGGGAGAACGGAATCTTTTGGGATAGGGGTTCAGGAAGGGATAGATGGTAGATGTGCAGATATGGAAGGAGATGCTGGGAGTGATGGTGAGTAAAGGAATACACTGTAGTGAGTTGCACTCTAGTGCTGGGGGCAGCAAGGGACCACACAACTGACTTGAGAGGTGGGCTCCCCAGGTAGAGCAGGAAAGCAAATAAAAAGCATCCGCGGGGTAACGAAACGGGGCGTGCAGGGCTTTACATTATTTTTTTTAGTGACACTAAACTGATTAAAGCTTTGGGCTTATGGATACGGAAGTTATTATTAATGCGTCGAAGAGGTTTACATTTATGAAAGGACAAGTAAGATGATGCAGAAAGTTAACCATATGGTTACGTGCTAGAAAGCGTTAACAATGCTTACTTAAATAGGTGAAGGAGTCTGAAGTACAAAAACTTGGAATGTGAAGTGGTGAAAGAAAGACTAGAAAAATGCACGTACTTTAAGATTAGTAGAGAACTTTGGCATTTGGAGGAGCTCAGGATGGGGGAGCAAGTGTTAAAAAGGAAAGGAATGTCAGAGATAAATTTTGATTGAAAAATGTACACGACACTAAAAATTTAACTGAAGAGGCTGTAATTTGATCATGGAAAAGTAATGTGACATGTTTTTGTGAATACACTTTCACCTCAGCATCATTTAAAATAACTTGAAAAGTAAGCAATAAAATATCTTCAGCAGTGTAGTTCAAGATAGTTCAAGGACTATCTATAAGGAACAGCTAGATGCTGCTGTGGGTTATGATCTTTAAAGAGAATAAGTCAAGAACGAATTGTAATTTTATATATCCTATGATGTTAGCTTTGGTAGCGTAGTGGTTACGAATCGGGCTGCGAACCTTAAGGTCAGTGTTTCGAAACTACCAGCCGCTCCGCGGGAGAAAGATGAGGCTTTCTACTCCCGTAAGGATTTACACCCTTGGAAACCCTGTACAGGGTCGCTATGGGTCGGAACCGACTCGACGGCACTTAACAACAACAACATGATGTTAGTGACATGAGTCTGTTCCGACTCATTGAGACCCTGTATAGGGTTTCCAAGGAGCAGCTGGTGGATTTGAACTTCTGATCCCTACAATAGCTATTTTCAACCTTCGTTGTTGTTGTTGTTAAGTACCGTGGAGTCGGTTCCGACTCATAGTGACCCTGCACAGGGTTTCCGAGGCTGTAAATCTTTACGGCAGGAGAAAGGCTCATCTTTCTTCCGCGGAATAGCTGGTAGTTTCGAACTGCTGACCTTGAGGTTAGCGGCCTGATAAGTAACCACTACGCTACCAGAGCTCCTTGGTAGACTGCAAAAACCGTGCAGACATTTTAAAGAGCAATGTATCAAAGAGCATCAAAGAGCATCAAATAACTGATGCAACAAAAACTGAAGAGAAAAAGACAACTCAGTCCTCAATGGTTTTGTGCTCATGGAGTCGGTTTCTACCCCATAGCGTCCATATGTAGGGTTTCGGAAGCTGCATGTTTTTACTGGAGCAGAAAGATTCAATTTTCTCCCTCTGCAACTGGTAGTTTCGAACTGCTGACCTTGAGGTTAGCAGCTCTACTTGTAACTGTTGTTGAGTGCTGTGGAGTCAATTCCAACTTTAGTGACCCTGCATAAGGTTTCCGAGGCTTTACCGGAGCAGAAAGCCTCATCTTTATTCTGCGGAACAGCTGGTAGTTTCGAACTGCTGACCTTGAGCTTATCAGCCGGATTCGTACCCACTACGCTACCAGAGCTCCTTAGAGCACCTTGATGATGATGATGTTGTTATGAAATGCTGTCAAGTCGATTCCAACCCATAGCGACCCTGTATAGGGTTTCCTAGCTCATTGATAGTAGAATCAAAATTACACCGTACAATTCTGAAGCAATACCAAATTCATTTATCATGATTTTAATGAATATGTGCCTTGTATGATAAAATGTTTACTTTAAACATTGAGGGTTGACCAATATGCTTTTACTTTTTGCTTAGATATTTTCAGCTGCATTCAGGGTCACAGTCTTCTTAATGATGATCCAGCTTTGTAGACAAAAGTAACTCCTCTTTAAAGAAAGTTGGGTGTTGGATGAAAATGAAATTTGCATTCTTTGTTGTATTGCTATTTGGAATTATCTGGAGTTAATTTATTAGACACATAACAATGATAGAGAATGAATAACTCCAAATTTTAATTTCTTTGCTTAACAATTTTCACACTAACTTGAAAGTGGTTTCCATAGAGACAACATGGATGGGTTTAAAAAGAAAGTTTATCTAAAGTTTTAGAAAGCCACAAGTAGGAAATGCATATTTTCTCTCAAACACCAAAAAAAACTTTAAATTCTATCAGAATGAATTACTATCTATAAAAATAAGTAATTAAAAAATTTATAAAATATTATAAAAATAAGTAATTCTCAAAAATGATCTTAGTAAAGAAGCTTCAAAAACAAAAGGATATAATAATTACCTGGAGATTAAAAAAAAAAAAAACCAAGGCATAAAACATGTAACTTAATGTTTACATTAGCAGTCTTGCTTTTTTAAAAGTCTTATAAAAAGTCGGTATTAGTAATTAGACCTCATAGGATAGGAAAGCAGTTGAAGGCATATTGACCATTTAAAAAATTTAGTCTTCTAAGAATGCTATGGCATTTTTACAGATGTTGGGAAAGGCTCAGAGGTTATAACTTGCTCAAGATCACATAGCTAGTGAGTGGCAGGACTTGGTTTGGAAATAAGGTTAATCTAATTCCAAATCCAGTGTTCCTTTAATTATACAGAGCTGCTTGAGTCTTTGTATTGGTGTTACACTAAGATAGAGCTGTTAGAATATAATTTATAAATTGTAATACCATTGTTTAACTGCATTGATTGCTAGGAATGAATATCATTTTGAGAAAATCCAATTTCTGACACAAAGGGATTGGCTTAGCATAATGGCTGTCCCATGTTTATATTCCTATAATGAGCATAATTATATTACCCAATGAAATGACTGAAATAGATAGCTTATTTCTGCTACAGGGAAAAAAAACCCGTGGTTGCTTTCTGTAAGTGTAAAATCACAACATTAAAAAACATTTTAATTTTGACATCAGAAAAACTATTGAACATTTTGTCCATGAAAACAGTTTTGAGTGTTTATTATCTTTTCTGTTGTAGAAACTTTAAAAGGTTTGTCTTGTGTGTACCTTGATTTAAGCTTATTTTGATGGTGAAACATTTGATAGATAAATGTTTAAAATTAAAATGCTTTTATTGCCCACTTAGAAAATTAAATTTGCAAAAAACCTTTTTACAAAATGCAATGCAGATTTTAACATCTTATTTTAAAATAAGATTAAAGTCTTATTTTTAAAAACTAAGTGTGAGATCATGGTATACATATTACTCTACAGCTTATTTTTTTTTCTCCCATATAATATCATAGACATTTTTCCAGATCAATGTATATAAATGTACTCATTCTAATAGCTGTGTAATATTCCATAATAAACATGTGTTATAAATTATTAAGCTATATGCCAGTAATAGACATTCAGGTTGTCTTCCCTCCATCCCCCTTTTTATTAACTGTTTCTGTCTCTCGTTGTTGTAATCAATACTACAAGAAACATCCTTTTACATGCAGTGATCTCCTTATGAGGAGCTCTGGCAGCGTAGTGGTTACGAATCGGGCTGTGAACCTTAAGGTCAGCAGTTTGAAACTACCAGCTGTTCCACAGAAGAAAGATGGGTTGTTTTGCTCCCATAAAGATTTACGAAACCCTGTACAGGGTCGCTATGAGTCGGAACCCACTCCACAGCACACAACCAACCATCTCACGTGTTAATGCCAGTGGAATAGATTCTCTTATATAGATTGCTGGGGCAAAGGTTATATGTATTTTATAATTTAATGTATTTTAAATAGGTTAAATTCTCCTCCCTCATATTTTTTTTCCTAAAAGTTTACAGTAGTTTTGCCCTCATAAGCACTAGATGCTGTTGTTTGTTGTTGTTGTTAAATGCCATCAAATCAGTTCCTACTCAGCAATCCTGTATAAGGTTTCCAAGGAGTGGCTGGTGGCTTTGAACCTCTGACCTTATTGTTGTTACATGCCGTAGAGTCAGTTTAGAATTATAGCGACATTGTCGAGGGTTTCCAAGGAGCTGCTGGTGAGCTTTAACCGCCAGCCGTGTGGTTCAAACCGACCTTGCAGTCCAGCGCATTAACCCACAGCGCCACACCAGGACTCCTTGAGGGTAGTAGTCCAGTGTTTCTCCTACAGTGCCACACCAGGACTCCGTAGATCCTATTAGCTTTTAATTTTTGCTAGTCCACACCTGTGAAATGGTATGTTTTGCGTTACTTAACATATCCTCAACTTTTAGTTAAGCTGAACGTAGCTATGTATGCTTATTTCCCTTTCACTTGCCAGTTCATTGTCTATTTTTATGGAGTTCTGGTATGGCACTATATGATAAACACTAGACTGCTGAACATAAAATCGGCAGTTCAAACCCACCAGCTACCCCTTGGAAACCTTATACAGGGTTGCTATGAGTCGAGACCAATTCCACGGCACTTCACCATCACCACCACCATATCATGT